TTGAGACATGCGCAGACAGAATCCGAAACGTCAGGACAATAAAACTCTTGTTCCTATATTCGTTAATATTGGGAAGTTAGTGGACCCAGAGACGTCATGTTTTGTTGCCTGCAAGTGTCACCATTAACACCAGTATTAAATGTCTGGGGAAGACCACGCGTCAAAATCGCTATCAATCATGAACCAACCTGACTGAAGTCGGAATGAAAAGGAACAATTCAAGTAAAGTGCTTCACTACTAAGGGGTCCTAGTGTTGGAAATTTATACCTATCTCGAAGAAGGATTGTCGAGAACCAGATCAATTTGTTTATTGTCCTGATCTTGATCGTGAGAGATAATAAACAACAACAAAAACGCTAATTATGGTGGATGTACACCAATCAACTTTCAGGGGGCGTCAGGTCGTAAGGGGTAGGAAACAGTGTTAAAAAGGGAGGTGGAAGGATGGAGGCAAATATAGAGGTAAACGTTAATTAATTTATTAGTGATGTCAAGGTTCGTAAGAGCGTAATTGGTGTACACCCAACATAATTAGCCTTTTTTTGTTTGTGTTTCTTACCTCTGACGATGGACTTCTGTAAGAGTTTGAAAGCTCAGGAAAGTTAACAAAACGATCCGGTACTCGACAATCTTACTTCCTTATCCATGCAAATGCCTGGAACACGCAGGTTTTCATTCATATTTATCTCCGTTTTGGTTAATTTAATTTATTGAGAAAGGAGAAGTATGTTTACATTTATTAGTCTGATACTTGCACCGTATGCAGCCAGTCAAAGTTCACTGCAACTCCACCATCGTGGTGTGAAAATCTATTATAAAATTGCAGATGAGGATAAATCTAATGCAGTACGTGAAATTTTATTTCTGTAAAAGCAGTTGTATTGACTCCAGAATATTTGAAAAATGCAAAAGGAAAAAGGTGACAAAAGTTACAAATATATTCACTGACCACTAAGTTTGCCGAATTTCCCTTTAAAATCATACGCACTACCGTTGATGTGATTATCTGGTGCGACGGTAGAAACCAGTCAGATATCGGCAACATTTCTGTGTCTGTAACTGCAGTGAGCAGTACATGAATTAAAACCTGCAGCTGTTTCAATGAGAGGTTATATATGCCCCCTTTTCTGTTCTGTGGTTTAATTAAATACACTGGACTATGAGAGCAGTTAGTAAAAAATAAGGATAAGACATGAGAGCAGGTACCTCCGAAGGTCACGTTATCTTGCTTTCAATTCCAGGAACGGTAACTATTTCTGTGTCTCGGCCTAACCGAAACTCCGACCGCAATCTTTGTGGAAATTAGAAAAAGTCACCTGTATTACTAGGGTATTCCTATTCCTGTGTGCTAGCTTATAAAGCTTACGAGCTGTGTATGTGATCCGATCGATACAACTGACAACCATATGTATATGAAAGACCTGCCTTTTAGTCACAGCATATCAGTTGACTTGTGAGTGGAGAACATGTGGATCCGGCGTAGTTTTTGTGATACTGCGTTATTACTTTGCGTAAGCACCTGGCGTGTATTAAAGGGGCGGTGGTTCTAGCCTGTTTTTCTGGATAATTCCCGACCATATAAGTTATCTGTTTCCCATACTCCGCTCGGATAGATTACACCCGGG